TTTTTTTTTCAGTGTACCCATGAGCACTTACTAAGTTACTCGTGGTTTTGGGTATATGTAATATAACATTTATTTTAGTCCAATAATAAAATTGTTTTGAATAACTAATGTATTACATATAATGAAGTATACACTGATAAAAAAATTTATTCAATCTAAATAAATATATTTATTCAAATATGTTTTAATAATATGTTGCAATAAGAGGTTATTTATGAAACTGTAATAAGCAATAATTTACTTTAAAGATATATATAATCAAATTGAAGAAATATACGTGAAATAATTTTAAAACAAATAACGAATAAATGTTATTGAGACAACCGTTGCTCAAATTGAATAACTTATTTATAACAACTGGAAAATCTAATATATTTAAATTCAGGAAATAGCTTTAAACAAATATTTTTTCAAACGAAATATTAATTTACAAAATGTGATAAAAAAAGACCGGAATTTCTCATTAACTTATGCATTAATTAAAAAACTACAAATTTAATGCAGGCGCCTTCGAAGTAATTCCCCTGGGCATCAATGCACCGTTGGAACCGTTTCTTCCAGTCCGCAAAGCACGCGGTAAATGCAGCGGACGGAATTGATCGTAATACCTTCTGCGATTCTGATATTATTATCTCTCTCGTCGCAAAACGCCACCCTTTCAGTCGTAACTTCATCCGGGGGAATAGGAAAAAGTCAGCTGGAGACAGGTCTGGAGAGTAAGGAGGTTGCGGGACAATTGGTAAGTTGTTACGAGCAAAAAACTCTCGAATACGAAGCACAGTATATGGTCGCGCATTGTCATGATGCAGTAGTCAGTTCTTGCGCTGCCATAACACCGGGCGTTTTCGTCTCACGTTTTCCCTCAGGCGCCGTAACACCCCTTCGTAGTTTCTGCGTTTACTATGACACCTTGTGGTCAAGAGATTGGAGATTTGTTCCTTCATTTCGTTAACTGATGTGGACGGCTTTTCAGGCCTAGGCTCCTCTTCCACCGACATTAAACTCTTCTTAAACCGTCCGTACCACTCGTAAACTTGAATAGAACTCATAATCTCATCCACATAAACTTCCTTAAGCAGTTTGAATGTCTCCGCGCACGTTTTCCCCAACTTATAGCAAAATTTCACGCAAATACGCTGCTCTTGCAACACCTTCATTTTAAAAACGCGTGACGAATCGCAGAACGGTACAAACACACATTCGTTTCCAGTACATTAAATTTGAAATTACTGGGCCGATCATAACGAAATTTCTACAGCGTACTGGAGAAGGATGCGCTATCTATCTGTAAAATCTCAAACTACATCCGTAAAGTTTAAGCGCTCGACGACAGAATTCCGGTCCTTTTTTTATCACATCTTGTACTTTACAACACATTACAAAACATATAGACAAAATGTAAGACGTTCATAATGGTCGAAGAAGTGGTGTAGTGCCTAAAGCAGACTCATAATTCAGAGGTGCCTCACGAGTCCAAAATCGAGTCCCATCAGTGCTAATAAGAATTTTCAAATAGTAACAATTCTTAATGTGATGTAATATTGGAAGCAACTTAGTCGTTCCTAAGTATTACTCTCACACGAATTTTTAAAGAATTTAAAGAACCGTTCAAGAAGTTGCATAAAATAAATGTAATTTTTGGACAACATATACAAAAACAGAATTTGTAGGCTAGAAAGATACCTGCTATTACCCTGAGTAACATTCAAAAGGTTTTAATTGGCGCACATTGTTTCTTAAAACGTTATTCATAAAAAAAGGTACATTAATATCAACACAAAATACATTAAGTATATATATCTTTGTCACATCAATTCATCAATATAGTATGTAACATTGTAAGTGTGTTACAGTGAGAAATTCATACAAATGCATATTGAAAATTCGGAAGCCGTGTGCACACACACACACATACACACACTAGTCGCCAGCAAGCGCGCTCGCCCGCCCGACAGGGTATGTCCTGAGGACGTTTCTACGTCTTCAAGACATCCCTGGAACGTCTCCAGAATACCTTGTGCTGTTTGGGTTATTATCTGTGTGTATGTGTGTATCATGTTTTGATATCATAATATCAGAAAACTACATTATATTCATTACACTTTTTTTGTTAATAACTTTTTAATAAACAACGAGCGACGGTTAAAACTTCTTGAATATTACTCAAGATGATCAACTGTATAATATATCCGAAGATTATTAAAATCGGAAGGTGGTCTGTTATTCTGCATAATTACCAAAAAATTTTTACTGTAAATATTTTAAGACCGAAATGGAATGTGCAGTGTTTCGTAGACCTCACCTCACTAGTTAAGGTTTAAATTAACAATAAAAGTACGAAAAATATTTTTATTAAAATTTTTATTAAAATTAAATTATATTATAAAAAAATTATATTACTGCGTTAATTGCAACATATATAGACAAAATATAAGACGTTTATATTAATCGAAAAAGTGGTGTAGTGTCAAAAGCAGGATTCGGCACATTTTGCCCATTTCGGCCGATTCTCGGGAGCTACGTCTTCTATCTCCCCCTTGCTGCGCGGCGGACCTAAAAAGTGACGGTCTAGTAGTGCCTCTAAGCTTGGAGTCGCGACTGGCCGCGACTGTCACTTGCATGCCGAAAAAGGTAAAATGTGCTGAGCCCTAGTTTAGCAATAGGCTCATAATGTAAAGATGCCTCAGGTTCGCCAGGTTCCAAATTCGAATCCCAGTGTTAATAAGAATTTTTAAGTGTGATATAACATTTGGAATCAAGTAATCTTAAATTTCAAGTAAAGTCAGCAAAGTAAATTGATTGGTTTTTTATTTCAACCAATTCACCAATATTTGTAAAAAAAATGGGACATATTTGAAACTTCCTTGAACATTCTGTATATATTCCAGAATGTTTTGGGACATTCTTAGGATGTTAATTTTGGAACATTTTGTGAATATTCCAGGAATATCTAGCATTTACTGAGAATATATTGATCGAAACAATTTGAAAATACATACTTTGTGTCAATACTTTTATCCCTTACATGATGGCATCAGTTGCGTGCGCATCACGTGTGCATATGGTCTAAAGTTGAATCATTTGAACCTCCCATGGTGAGTTACTCATTATAGAAATTTCACGCCAATGCGACATGTTTTTCATACTGTTGCAATTTCTATGAACAGCAGTATATGTATGTACATTTATACCTATTTATACCTACAGGGTGTCCCATTTTAAAAGATACACCCTCATAATTCTTCAGCCAAGTATATTCAGCAAAAATGTTCCAGACAAAAGTTGTCGGATTTAGAGAGGGACATCTTAAGGTGACCTTAACTTTGATCTTGGAGGTCATTCTGAAGGTTATTCGAAAGTCAACTTTGCTTTTTAAATAGAAACATTTATTTTTTCCTACGGAATTTTATTTTACGTAAAGAAGCTAACAACTTTTGTTTGAAAAAAATTTTTATACGACCTCTATTTTCTAAGATATTAACGGAAATATCTACAAAATTATTGAATTTAATAATTTTTTACTCGAATTCTATCAACTTTAACGAAAAATAGCAAGAGATAAAAATTATCCATTTTCTTCTCATAGAGCTCTGAGAATTTTTTCAGAATTTTTTAGTTAACCTCTTAATATTGCATTTTCTTGAAGTACTAAAAAGTTTATATAAAATTATGAAAAAATTCTCGGATCTCTATGAAAAAAAATAAACAATTTTTATCTCTTACTATTTTTCAGTAAAGTTGATAGAATTTGAGTGAAATTTATCGAAACCAATAATTTTGTAGATATATCCGTAAATATCTTAGAAAATAAAGGTCGTATAAAAAATGTTTTCAAACAAAAGTTGTTAGTTTCTTTACGTAGAATAAAATTCCGTAAAAAAAATAAATGTTCTATTTAAAAAGCAAAGTTGACTTTCGAATAACCTTCAGAATGACTTTTAAAGTCAAAGTCAAGGTCACTTTAAGATGTCCCCCTCTGAACCCGACAATTTTTGTCTGAAATATTTTTACTGAATATACTTGGCTGAAGAACTATGAGGATGGATCTTTTAAAATGGGACATCCTATATAATAAATATATAAAACAATATATACAAATGGATTCAGAATAAAAAATGTTTATTCACATAACAAATTCAATAACTCAAAGGTTAATTAAGGTTGACAATAATTACTTTGTTAATTGTTTTAAACATTCTTTTTATTTTAACCTAGTCTATTTTATTTTACAAAAAATATCATATCATTCCAAAATACCAGATCATTCTTCTCTAAAAAGTTTTTCTGTATCTCCAATAGTTACCAAGATAGCAAAAAAAAGAGTAGTTTCTTTGAGGAATAGTTCCAATTCCTAAACTTGAGTCTTCGCCAATATTAAAAATACGTGTCCATTACTTTTGGTTACTATGGCAAATAAGCTAGGTCTCCATCGAAATCGGAGACGGACACTTCGCGAATGTTTCTTGTGAGTCATAAAGAGGTTGATGTCTCTCTCCTTCTCTCCCTCTCTCCCTCTCCTCTCCCCCTCCCTCTCTCTCTCTCTCTCTCTCTCTCTATATATATATATATATATATATATATATATATATATATTGCTTGATCTGTTCACCAATTTCATGTCACAGGCGCTCGTTATTGAGTAAATCGCCGACACCGAACACCTTGTGCGTGCAAGTGCCAGCGTACTCGAGTCTGGGTCAATCGCTACCTAACCTCACGCTGGCCACCTCACCGCAAACCTCCACCGTGTCGCCCACGCCGCCGAATTCGTTACTCATTGTGCCGCAGATTACGAAGAGCAAGGATACCCTACTTTCGCCAGGACACCGAGGTAGCAATTATCGACGCGAATCTTTGTACCTACGTCTGTCGCACTCCACCGATGCTGTTTCGATAGAGGCTGTCTCACGCATCGACGACACATAACTACGCACTAGTAATGCACGATTAAATCGTAGTATGCGTGAATTACTCACCGCAAATCGTGGATCGCCAAGTGCCTCTATTTGTAATGTTATTAATGCCATTTACTTGTTAGAAATAGCGTAAACGTCTAAGACGGCAGACACGAGAGAAGAACGCAATATAAAATTAAGATTACTGATAGCGTAGCTTGATGTGTAGACTCTGTTAGATATAAATACTTAATTAGAAAACGCTTGATAGAGCTGTTCTATCTTCTAACACGCAAAAATTCCAAATAAATACACAGCGTTGATAAAAGCTTGTCTTTTATTTCCTCGAAGAAATAGGCAGGAGAGATAAATCTCTCGGAATTTCACTCAACAGCTATTTCGTTTGCTACCTATTTCCCGTCCATTTCGACCTTGATCGTTGTCAATAGAATTCAGAGATCACTTAGTCATAGACGGGAACCCAGCCTACGTAAAGAGCAACGTTGCGTTAGGCGAATAGTCACGTATGGATGGTGTGTCGCCAGGTATATCGTACCCGCCGCCATCACCACCACGAGGCGCTCTCAGAAGGGCGTTTGCTTTACCGCAGTCTCGGAATCCGCCCTTGATCAAGACGAGGCACGTAAACGCATCCGTGATGCAAACGGTGCAGCCGATCATGAGCTTCGAGACTGAAGCTGTTGAAGAGAGACGGAAAAAACTGGAACTTTCGCAAAGAATGTCGTCCACGAGCAGTATTGTTGAAGAAAAGGTATAACTTTTCATTACCCGGACAAAAAGAAATATACGCGTGCGCACACACACAAACACATATCCCAAACAGCATGCAATATTGCAGAAATATTACAATATTTTAATATTACAAATTAGTAACAATATAGTAATATTACAATATTGTATTAATATTGCAGTAGGAATGAAATATTAAGGATATATTATTGAGATATTACATTGCGATATATAACAGTATAATATTGCAGTAGTATTACTACAATATTACAACACGATCCCTAGTAGCAAAATTCATTGACTTTACATTGACTAAACATTGGTTATCTTGGGAATACATTAGGAATACATTAGGAAATTATGTAAATTCAATGTTAAATATTGAGTATAGATTGATTTCCCAATATTGGTCCAATATTGGAATATCGTAAAATGGATATCGCCTTTTATTTAATCAATATTGGTCAACAATATTGGTCCAATAGCATTGGGCAAATGTTAAATAATAATACGAGTATTTACTTCATTTTTCACGTTGGACATTAATTGGATCTTAATGTAAAACTAATCCCAGTAAATGTTAAATATTCCTGGAAAATTTATAAAATGTTTCTAAAATCCAAAAGTAATATTCCAAGAATATCCCAAAATATTCCGGAATATTCATAAAATTTACAAGGAATATTCAAATAAGCGCAAAAAATTCCACTTTTATATTTCCCAATATTCAATCAATATTGGATATGGAATAATTAAAAATATATTACTAATATTATACGTTAAATATATTTATATAATATTGAATTTACATTGGAAATACGTTAGCCAATATTTCTCAATATAAAATTAATATTGATCTCAGAATAAATATTAATCTATTGCCAATATTAGACATCAATAAATACGCAATATTGCATTTACATTGAAAATGCATTGGTCAATACTTCCCAATGTAATATGAATGTACATATAGAATGAAGGACAACGTACTGACAATGTTATGTTTCAATAATTGCACGATATTGTGTTTATGTTGGCAATGCAATGACTAATATAATATTGATTATAGATTAAATGCTAATTTATTGCATTAATATTACGTGTCAATAATAAGATGGTATTGCATTTACATTGGCCAATATTCCTCAATGTTAAGCCAACATTAGGCATGGAATAATTACAAATATATAACTAATATTATACGTCAAATGTTTATATAATATTGGACTTACGTTGAAAATATGTTGGCTAATATTTCCCAATATAAAATTAATATTGATCTCAAAATAAATGTTAATCTATTGCCAATGTAATACGTCAATAAATATACAATACTGCATTTACATTGAAAGTGCATTGGTCAATATTTTCCAAAATAATATGAATATTACATATAGAATGAAGGCCAATGAACGACTAATGTTATGTTTTAACAATTACACGATATTGCGTTTACACTGAAAGTACATTTGCCAATATTTTCTAATACAATATTAATCTCTGAATAAATGGTAATCTATTGCCAATATTATATTTCAACATTTATACGTTATTTTATAATCTCTTATGACTTTGTCTATTTAATAAGAGCAATAAAAAAATTGTACTATACAAATTTTAAGACCGAAATGGAATGTGCGGTATTTTGTAGACCTCACCTCACTAGTTAAGGTTTAAATTAACAATAAAAATACAAAAAATATAATTTTTATTAAAATTAAATCATATTATAAAAAAATTATATTACTGCGTTAATTGCAACATATATAGACAAAATATAAGATATTAATCGAAGAAGTGGTGTAGTGTCTAAAGCAATAGGTTCCCAGTAAGCAATCTGCGCGCAGACTGACGTCAGACTATCGACAGGATCTGTCGAATCCGAGCAGGATCTGTCGACAGATCCATAGACATCTGCGTCCCCAATCTGCCGCCAGACTGTTGACAGGGTCTGCGAACAGACTCTGACGACAGACTGGCGGCAGATTGCGCGCAGAGCCTGTCGACAGACTCTGACGGCAGATTGGCGGCAGATTGCGCGCAGATCCTGTCGTTTCGTAGGTTCTTCAATTAAATTTTCTCATAATTTTTCATAATTACTCATAGAATAAGCGCTTTCTCATAAATACTCATAAAATACTATGACAAAAAAAATTTTTCTACATTATTTTTTCATAATTTTTAATATTTTCTCTAGTGAGATTCGAACTTGAACTGAAGACATCTTTTGGATAATCGTCCGTCGTCTTAAACACTACGCCAATTCCTCACTTGATAAAAAGCGCTTTATATTGCCCACTTAAAGATTAAAAAAAAAAAATCTTATAGTTTGTTTGCCTTTTAAATCGCAAAATATCGACGAAACCGTTTAGCATATAAATAATGTAAGAGAGACCGGCACGATAATTCGAAATTAATTTTCTACCAAGGACTGTATAGAAAATTACTGCAATAAAACAGCAGATAATGACATTTTTCCATCATGTTAATAAAATACTGTACTTTTGCATATGCGAATTAATTTGGTCGATCGTCCCGTTCAGATTGTATTAAGTTTTATCAAAATCGAAGCATGATATATTTTTATAAATAAACCATCAAAAAAATTCTGTAAAAGTTATTTACATAGCGGGACTAATATTTTATTCGGTGCTGCTGCCTTCAGTACTTATTTTCAATAACGTATCAAATACGTGGACCACACTGTATATTACGATTACTGATTTACCGACTCGTAATTTATTAAATTAAATAGATTGTATAGACGTCAGAATATAAATAATAAAATAATAAATAAATAAGAAATAATAAAAAATAAATAATAAAATATAATAAAATTAAATACGATAACGTAAATACAAAAAATAAAAATAAAATAATAAAATAATAAATAAATAAATAAAAAATAAATAATAATAAGAGAGGGAGAGAGAGAAAGGGAGAGAAAGAGACAAAGAGATAGAAACACATTTTTTATAAAAATGAATTATTCTGAAATAAAATTTAAAGAACCTGCTTTTTATGTACACCTTAATATTTAAAATGTCCAAGTTCAACGTATAAATCGTTAAACGGTTAAATCGTTCAGATTTAATGACATAACAACATTAAAAAAAATAATAAGATGAGAAATTGTATGAAAAATTATGAGAACAATTTTTGGGATGATATATATACGCATTTAAATGGCCATTTAACCGTTGTACTATTCTATACTTGTACTCGTTATTTCTCTATTATTGTTGCTTTTTTATAAAAAATGTGTAATACAATTTTAAAAT